TAATAAAGCTTTATCATACTAGTACATAATGAAGTAACTTTTCACCTCCCTCTAAAGCCTTTATTATATACACGTGCATTATACATATGTTCATATTATATACATATAAAAACTATTTTGTATGTGTGTATAGATGGATGTATATATGTATGTGTGTGTACGTATAGATATATATACATACAAGTATATATCCATATATACACGTGCGTGTGTGTCCCATGTGGGCACCCAGTAAAAACTCAGTAACTATGGAAGGAATAAACTATGAGTCGGTTCCGACTCATAGCGACCGTGTGTGCAGCAGAATGAAACACTGCATGATCCTGCACCATCCTCACAGTTGCTGCAGTGTTTGACCCCACTGTAACTATGGAAGGAATAATTTAGGTTCACACCAAGTCTTTCCCCTCCTTCATATTCTATTTTGATCATTTTGTTACTGGCAATTTAAAATCATAAGCATTTAAATTTGATGCTGTGTATGTATACAACAAGCATTTAAACTGACTAAATGGCATGAAAATTCTTTTATAATTTTATTAACTCTTACTTGTGCAAAAGATACCAGTGACTGAAGATAATGTGCACATACTAATGGATTATATGCCACAGGAAAATGTTGCTTTATATTGCTACTCTAGCAGCTGCAGTTTAAAGTACAGTTATTACTAGCTACAGTATCACCTAGTTTAAAATTTTTATCAAAAGAAGTTCATGCTATTGACTCATTACTCCCGTATTTATTATTCTTATTGAAAATCCCTAGACCTAATTCTATTGGTTTCCCTTCTGATTGAAAGCATTTGAACCTAGAGAGCACAGTATTTCTTAAGACCTTTGTAACTACTCATCATGGATATTAAAATTACAGTCATGCTGCATTGTGTGAGCAATGGTTTAAAAAAAAATCTTTACACATATGATAAGCGGTGACCAGTGCGATCCACGTTGGAAGATGCTGAACGTTCGTATAACTGGTATTTGAAATTTTGATGTGTATTGCATTCGTTACTGAATATCAAGAATACTTTTTTTTTTTTTTTTGCTCACGTAGAGGAAGTTTAAAATGGGGTCTTTTGTAGCAGCACCCATCTTGTTTAGAATGATATAACAGGTGCTGAATGTTCACATATCAAACAAAATGCCAGCTTTCTGTAGAAAAGAGGTGTCAAAAAGTTTCTTTGTACCTTTAACGCATGTGATTATGTAGTACAAAATGCAGAGTTTGTAAAATTTCTTGAATATACAGGCAAAAAAAATGAATAATTCAAAACAACTCATAAGTTCTACATTCTATTGTCCCTTTATAACGCAGGCAGAATATAGCAGTGTGCTCCCAATAGAGCTGAATTTGCACAAGTTACACCTCTGAAAATGCCAGATGGTCTATGGTCTACTTTTGAGAGCTGTCACATATGTAAAGATTTGAAAAAAGAAAGACAGCTGAATGAGAGCAGTGGATCATTAAAGGGAGAGCGAGAGTCCCTAGGCATCACTTGTGTTTTAAGAAGCATTGTGTCGCTCCCTTATTAGCGTGCTTTTTTTTTTTTTAAAGCCATACACAACTTTTACACAATAAGGAAAAAAATTCTGTTTTAAGCCAAGTAGTAGTGGCTTAATCAGTTAGACGTTTTTGTTCTTACTCAAGAATAAAATCATATGTTTCCTGCTTGGTTGCAGTTGTAGTTTTACTGTAAGATTCAACTCTTCCTTATGAAAAATTAGCCATAAAGTTAATATAAGTATCTGTTCAGATAACAAAGATATTTAGGGTTTATCCAGTTTTTATTAGACTTACGTACTGCGTACATCTAGCAAAATCATTCAACTGAGAAATTGTGTTTTAGTGTTCAAAACTGACGTGAAGAGATAATACTTGGTTACCTGACCGTAATACAAACTATGGTAAAAATAATTAGGTGACAGTGAAGCAAGAATGAATGTACTATCATTTATCTGCCAACAGAAATAGATATCATTTTGAAGACTGAAATGTAGATAAATCATTAAAGTGTGTTAGAATATCACTCCCACCATACACAGCAATTTGCAAATAGTCAAATTTTGATAGTAGAGAAAGGTCAAATCTGTCACTTTTAGAATTTGGTGGCAAGACAAAGTTGTCTTTTTCCCCTCTTATTTTTATTTATTGAGAGTACTTAACTTTTATATAGTAATTCCACATTTATCTTGGGTTATGGAATAGGACAGGATATTTTTGAGTTGATAAGCAGTCTTCCCAGCATTGGTCAATGACATTTCGACTTAACCAAGCTCTCAGATTTCATGAATTATTCTTTTCAGAGAAAAAGTGGCCCGAAACATTTCATTTATTTGGTGAGGTTACTGGAAAGCACACCAAATCAGGTTTAACTGTCTTCTTGGCATCCCTTTAAATACATATGCATAACTAGCTTTATGTTCAATAGCAGTCATTACGATGTCATTCTAGTTGATAACGAGAGGTTACAGGAGCAGCAAATTAATCTCTAAATCAAACGATCGCACACTCCTAAGACATAGATCTCTTTTTACAGATGCCTTGATTGTATATTTTAGTTATGAGAAGGGCATATATAGCTGCTAAACAGACAGGTAACCTTTTCTTCTTGTTCATTGTTTTTTTCCATCAGAAATTAGAAGAAAAATATTTTGATAAATTTTACTACTATTACTTTATAGTAAATTATTCCCCCTTTATTTATCACTGGAGAACTGAAAAATTGTGAGAGAATTTCGTATATTAGTTTTATAAATCAGGTATTAATTTTGATATGAAAGCATGCTTTTGCTTGTTAAGTAAATGAATCTGTTCTTTTTCTTATGATACGCACATTCATGAGTAGAATGTTTTGATACGTTAAAATGTTTTTCCCCCAAGACTCGTAGTTTATGTAAACAAAAAATAAACAGTAGTGTGCTAAAGACTTACTCAAACACAAACTATCTTTGTCAAAAATACGAACCAGGTCTTAGCAGTTCCCAGACCACAGGTATTCAGTCCTTTGAGACATACACAGTAAGAGCTCAGCTTACACTGCTTTTTCTAAGTAGAAGAGCTCTTGGTATTCAGATTTAATTTATATTTCAACACCATAAACAGAAATGAAGACTCATTGAAACAGCAGTTTTAGATTTCAAAATTCTAAGAAATTATAGAGCAGTAAAATTTGTGTCATAAATTTTTCTCATTGTTTTTGCTGAGATGCTATGATTGATAGCTTTACTTATCTATACATGCAAGGTAGAGGGTGATTTTTAATAATAATCTCATCACTTAACCAATGTAAACAGATGAACTTTTTTTAGGGGGGAGGGGGGCAGGGTTCTTACCTGAAAAAAAAAAACAGAATCTTTCCTGGCTAATTTAAATAGAAAATAAATTTGTTAGCAGCACATGGACTCCCCCCAGAGCTCAACAGCCAAGGATCATGCCCATTATGAGGCTTCTCTAATGACAATCCCACCGGCACACCACTGACCCACTGGTCTGCTTGGGAGTGGACACCAGAAACTTCACCTCTTTTCCAAGACCAGCATATGCCTTCTCCACTGCCCAGGTTAAGATCACCTCCCTGGTGTATTGGTCTTGCTGAATTAATATAGTTTTTCAGAATTTATAATCTCTTAGATTTTTCTCCAGCGCATTCAAGTCATGGGCACATCTCAAAAGTTTTTTTCTTCCTTTCCAGGACTCTGACCTGTTATTTCTTTTTCTTGTTTATTGTTTTCCCCAGGGCCTCTAGTGTAGCGTTGCATAAGAAGGGTGAAGGTGGGCATTCATTTCTTGGTCCTGACCAAAACTGAGGTACTTCTAAAATATTAGTGTTTAGTTTTGGTAGATACTTCTTTTTTTTAATCCAGTTAAGGAAACCAAAACCAACCTGTTGCCATCGAGTCAATTCCAACTCAAAGCAACCCTTTAGGGCAGAGTAGAACTGCCCCATAGGGTTTCCAGTGAGTGGCTGGTGGATTTGAACTGCTGACCTTTTGGTTAGCAGCGGTAGCTCTTAACCACTGTGCTACCAGAGCTCCTTGATTAAGGAAGTTCTCTTCTGTTCCCAGTTGGGTTATTTTTAAATCAAATTAAAGAATAAACATAGAAAAGGTTTTCTTTTCCAGAATTTAAAATGGAATCATTTGTAAACTGTATTCTTCTATATGTTGTCCAGCTTTGAATACCTGAATTCATTGCTCTTTTCGTTTTATCTTAAGAGATTTCAAAAACTGAGTAATTTTTCATTATCAGGGATATTGAGGTAATACTGCTGTGTTTATAGCACCTAGAAGAGGGCCTGGCCCAAAGAAAACCATCAACACTTGCTTAAATGAGTGTTGAATTACTTTTTAAGATTTCCAATTTAAATTTTCTTTTAAAAAAAGTATTCCTCTGCTGTTGTTATATCCCTTGTGTAAAGTCACCTTTGACAATCCCGCTCCAATTTTTTCCTTTTTGTAATTATTAATTGTGCTTTCTCTGTGTCCATATTAAGGCGTACTAGTGGCGCAGCAGTTAAGCGCTTGGCTGCTAACTGAAAAATTGGTGTTTCGAACCTACCTAGAGACTCCTCGGGAGAAAGACCTGGCAATCTACTCCCATAAAGATTACAGCCTAGAAAACCCTATGGGGCAGTTCTACTCTTCCCTGTAGGGTCATTATGAATCGAAATCGACTCTACAGCACCTAACAACAATGTCTGTATTTGTTAGTACAGTGACACTTAGAGATCTGGAACTCGACTGCCTTGTTTTTCTGAGTCTCTCAAGTTTTCTGCCTTTGACAGGGTGCAGTCTTCCCACTTTTCTAGCACTCGTTTTAGTAGAAGATATTTGAGTTTTCCTTCTCTGACCGGTTTCCACCTTACACAGGTTCTGGTTTTCATAGGCTTTACTGTATTTTCCTTTTTCTTCTTCATTTTTACTGTCATGGTTAAAATAAAGAAAAAAACCTGTTACTGAATGTATTTAACTGGATACATTTTTCCTGTTTTTCAATTTAGCTCAACCTCAATGCTTGCCCCTGCTTCAAACTTCAGCACAGGAATCGAGTGAGGAGGAAATAAGCAAGTTAAAGAACAGCCACACAAGTCTGAGCAATGGGAGTGGAATTCATAAACATGTGTCTGCAGACAATCGCAAACTTTCCGCACCTGTTTCTCAAAAAATGCATAGAAAAATTCAGTCCAGCTTGTCTGTAAACAGCGATATCAGTAAGAAGAGTAAAGTAAATGCTGTCTTTTCCCAAAAGACAGGCTCTTCACCTGAAGGTAAGTTTGCTATATGTGCATATTTTATTTGAGCAGATGTAAAATCATATTTGCTAGTAATTATTTGATTAAGTAAACATCATAGAAGAATCTTGCTTATCCTTCTGACAAACAGGAATTTTGGTAAAATGCAACTTAACTTCCCCAAAGGAAAGCATAAGATGGAAAAGAAAGTGTGGCTGCTGACATCCAGCGTTTAGATATCATCTCCTAGAGAGTAGTCATTACTTTAAATATAACTGCTATTACTTCTTTTTTTAATGCCACATTTAAAAATATGAATCCAACATTTTGTTGGCATATATGAGTGTATGAAAGTATTTTTCCTTCCCTGATGCAGTATGCTATTCTATGGTTCAGAGTTAAGATGACTGGCTTGTATTTTTGTCTTGCAAATCAGTTCTTAAACATGCAGAGCTAAGGAAAAAGACTTGGAAATTTTCACGCTCTTGCCAGGGAGTAGGCCAGGTGATCTCTGTTGCTTGACTGACGAGCAGCTTCTAGCCACTGTGCTGCCACCCCTACTCCCACCTCACCCCTGTCCACGGCATCAGAGGCATAGTGCCTGGATTCTAGATTCCAGGTTCACTGTGGTCTGTCCATCAGCTCCTCCCTTAGAGACACTTGGCTGCGATCTCTGAGCTTGGAGGAGCTAGTTATTACTTCTTCCAATTCAACCTAATCTTGCCCTTGGCCTGGCTAAAGTCAGATTAAATGCTATGAACCTGACGAAGTTTTTCTTTATTATAAAACGTACCCATGTGATAACAGTTAGTCTGCAGACTCTTTTTATATGGTCTGTTGTCTGTATTAAAAGAGAAAAGTCTCCTCTCATATTTAAGGTCCCAAATTTTCATTAGCATATTCATGTTCTTCTCCTCTATCTCCCCCCTCTTTAACAATTCTGAACATTAAAAAGCTCAGATCTCATATATACATAATTTTTTCCTTAATCCCTTTACCTTTTTATTTTAATTGCCATGAAATCTTAAATAAGAGAAATCCTGTGAGATGCCCCTGTGAAGCTGGCTGTGCTTATTCGTAGAGATAAATTGAGATGTAAATAGGAAATTGTGTTGAGAATTACCAGTAATGAATGAGGGCAAGGATATTACATTTTGGCTACAGGTGTCTCAAACTCAACTGAGGTAAAAGTGTTAGGTTGATCAGATGATATGATAATAAATAGTCTGCATAGTTCTAGGTCAGTGACACTACTTTCCAAACTAATTAGATTGAAAGGGACATGATTGACACTTTAAAATGAGTTTGACATGTAAGCTGTATGGTCATCTCAGAAGTATAGGTAGGCTGTTAACTAAACTGTCTCTCCAAGGAGCTGGGAAGGCAATGCAATTTTCTTTAGAGGATCTTGGCTTCTAGGTGACTGGGTGAAATCATGCAAGTGAAATCTACTTGTTTTATACATTTGAATTTACTTATTACATCCCTAACCTCTTATTTTCCATTGCATGTTTACGTGTTTTAATGTTAGAGAATGGTAACATTTGCAGTTTGCATGTGAATCCAACTTGAAATTGTTTATGCAAATCTTTATAAAAATTTCCATTATTTGCTTGGCTTTAATACTATGTCTGAATGCAGCTTTATAAGTAACAATATGAAAGAAGAGAAAAATTAAGAATACATGAATGTGAGATATAGTTCTCTGCTCTTCCCCTTTCTCTCTTCCCCTCCCATTTTCTCTCCCCCACCATCTGCCTCCAGTCACACACATACACTCACACTTACGACAGATCATAAAGATCTGAAGAGGCAAGCCCCATGTAGTCCTGTTCCTCTCACAGACACGGCTGTAATGCAGCTGGGGACATGAGGAATATGTCCTATCTGTAATGCTGCTTCTAGGCTATTGAATTCAGCCAGTGTAGGTTCCTTTTACTGTAATTGCTTAAAATTCTCTTGTCCTATTTTATATGTCCTCAGAATTTTATCAAAATTATGTTCCTTCATGATTTTTGCTGCTATTTAAAGTTGTGCCATAAAATTGTATTGTTTCTTCTGACTTTCAGTTTTGAAGTTTACTTTCTGGCAGTGGGCTGTAGTGAGCAAAAAGCACTAAACTGGTAGATGGCAAAAGGAAAACACGTTTTCAGCTCTGCCAACAGCTAACCAGGGACTTGAGTATCTCTGAGCCTGTTCTTTCTACAAAATGAAGGCTTTAGGTTAGATGAACTTCAAAGTTTGGTTTGGCTCCGAGATTCTGCAGTTCTCTTTTTACAGCAAAACTGCTTCACTGTCAGGAGAGTTCTCTCGGTGTACAGAATATGCGATCCCTGGTTGAGGAGGAATCTAAAACTTGTGGAGCAGAACAGGTCAACAGCAGAAATGGTTTTGGTGAACAGCGATAGCATCTGGGTGTCACGGGTGTTTAAGTGCTCAGCTGCAAACTGAAAGGTTGGAAGTTCAAATCCACCCAGAGGCACCTCGGAAGAAAGGTCTGCCCATCTACTTCTGAAAAATCAGCCATTGAAAACCCTAGGGAGGGCACAGTGCTCCTCTGACACACGGGGTTGCAGTGAGTCAGGATCAGTTGGATGGCAAATGGTTTATATATGAGAATAGTAGATCTTGGACAGGATTGATTTGTTGCACAAATAAAAACAGGAGGTTTTTTGTTTTTTTTTTTTTAAAGCAGTAATAATAGGAGGATTTGATGGCTAACTTCTCATTTTTTTTTTTTTCCATATTTTTCTTAAGTCTTCATCAGCTATTCCTGGACTTCTGACAGCAAAATAAGCAAACAAGTAGCAAAATAATATTAACCGAAAAATCTCAAAAACAGCTCACCGTGCCTAGCTGGACAGTGTGTAGTTTTTCTGAGTACACAGTGCTTATGGTTGTGATTTTTATATTGCACATAAATAATATCGACAATTTAGAGGGACGTTTTTCTGGTTCACATGATGGGATTAAAGGTTTAAATATTTCATACTATTCCATTAAGAGCACTAAGGGCCTTTTTTGCTGACCAAGTTTGGGAAACACTACTACGATGTGGGCCATTGCTTACCTAGAGGTAAGGATTGAACTGGCCACATGACTCAGTATGCAGGATGGCAGATGTGTTAACATGTGTTTCACTGTGGATTATCTAAGACCTGAGTGCAGATAGTCATACCCATCATCACACTCTCTTTGGAAGCTGCACTGATACATGTAGTCAGAGAGTGCCTTCGATGCACCAGGTACTGTTCTACCTGCTTACTCCCGTGAACTCGTTTAATCCTCCCAACAACACTCTAATTCTCTTGACTCTATGTAATTACCTAATTTTAGGTGAGAAACTGAGGCACAAATTGTTAGGTGAACCACCTGAAGTCAGTTGGTATATGTCAGAGTTGAGATTCAAACCCAGACAGACAGTCTGGCTCCAGAATCCATGTTCTTAACCACTATGCTATTTTGCCTTATTAAAGTGCTCTGAGAAAACAGTAATTTACTGGCTGGTCTGATGTCACATTGGATGTTGATGGTGTTACAACTGTGGGTCAGGCAGGAAATCTTCCTGTTGGTATACATTTCCCATCTTGAAGCCCTTCCTACTAAAATTTCAAAAACAATTTTTACACCTGTGTTGTCTGTCAGTTTTCCTACCATACTAGACTGTAAATTGCTTAAAAGACTAGTGGGTCTAAGTCACCTTTTTTTAATGTACAGTGGTGCCCAGCACAATAGCTTTGTAGAATTTCCAATGAGTTAATAAATGATTGTGTTCTCGTCCAAACCACTTTATCCTCTTCTTCCTTGAAACTAGCACTGGAAAAGAAAATGTGTGCTCATATTCATTAAAAAGTGCTCTTTCCAAAAGTTCCTTTTATCAAATAGAGGGAAGAAAATGCCCATGTGGGAAAATGTTGTACATTTTATTTAAAGGTTATTAGATTAGTAGATTTCTACTTGTTTTGTATAATTAAATATTTTCATACATACTTTAATTTTCTGATTGCATCACCCAGGTAGAGAATTTTAAGACTAAATATTTAAGATTCTTGACCTTTGAAATAATTATAATATAATTTAGTATCATATAATATTCAAATTGCCAAGGGTTTTCATTAAACTCTAAGACACTTATCATAGGAATGATAAATCCTAATGTATTTTAGGTGTGCCAGTTACAGTTAGATATTTTTGAAAAAATTAAATTTTAACCAAGATATTTTTAAAAGATATTTTATACTTTTCAGGAATGTCTTAGTCATCTAGTACTGCTCTAACAGAAATACCACAAGTGGATGGCTTTAACAAAGACAGATTTATTCTCTGACAGTCTAGTAGGCTACAAGTCCAAATTCAGGGCATCAGCTCCAGGGAAAGACTTTCTCTTTCTGTCGGCTCTGGAGGAAGGTCGTCATCAGTCTTCCCTTGGTCTGGGAGTATCTCAGCGCAGGAGCCCCAGGTCCAAAGGACACGCTCTGCTCCTGGCACTGCTTTCTTGGTGGTATGAGGTCCCAATCTCTCTGCTTGCTTCCCTTTCCTTTTATCTCTTGTAAGATAAAACTCGATGCAGGCCACACCCCAGGGAAACTCCCTTTACATTGGATCAGGGATGTGACCTGGATAAGGGTGGTGTTACAATCCCACCCTGATCCTCTTTAACATAAAATTACAATCACAAAATGGAGGACAACCACACAATACTGGGAATCATGGACCAGCCAAATTGATACACACATTTTTGGAGGGACCTAATTCAATCCATGACAAGGAATATTTGATATCATAGATTTAGTATTTATAGAGTAATACATTTCCAATCCTAGCATCTCCTTAAGCATAAATGCCTAACAAGACAGTCAAGAGTGTTGTATACCTCACAATAAAAGAATCAGTCTCATTTTTAATCACATAGAGGCAGTATAGGCTAGTGATTAGAGCACAGACTCTGGTGCCAGACTGCTTGGGTTCAAATATTGGCTTTACCATATTTACAAATGTTGGCTGAACAGTATTGTGTCCTTGGGAAAGTTACTTAA